ACCACACAACATTTCCTAACACACCACCAGAATCAATCTAACCCCCCATCCCTCAACTACCGATTAGCCGCCCAGTCTCAGCCCCCCAAATCAACCATATCACAAACCACAAACCATAAACCACCATTCCACAAACACGCACACAAACCCATAACCCCGAAAAGAGACATGCAACAAAACTTATCTGTTTCTCTTCCATCTAATCTATCTACTCCATCTAATCCATTCATATCTCATGAATTAGGGATACAACATGAGAAACATATGATTTAGTCACAAATATTCGGTTAAGGTTATAGTACTGAGCCACAGTAATCTCGAGTTCCATCATTTCATAATGTTCGTTTCACGGCAGTAGTTTGAATTTCCTGTATTTCCTGTATTTTCTATTTTCTACCCCTTTTCCAGCTTGGTTGTCCGATTATCGATGGATTTTCTTGTGTAGATGTAGATAATGTAGTGATTCCGTTTGTAGATGCGGATTACCGATACATTTCTAGATTTATATTCGATCTCACATCCACATGTGCTGTGCTAATTTTACGAATTTATATGGTAACCTTATCATTCCATTGATGCAACACAAATATTTCCCTTGTGTAAAGCACACTGTGAAGAATTAACTGTGCGGGTGAAAATAACCAGGGTGAAAGTCAGTGGAGAATCTCATGTATACTTAATTCATGTCTCATGGTGTATTCCATAGGTATACATAGGTAGGGCATCTAGTAGACCATTCTACCCATACAGTCTACTCAATCTGGAAAACCCATCTATTAATCCTCCCTCGAACTAACTTCCTCAAAAGCAGCTTCTGCCTCCTCCCTCATCCTAACTCCTTGATCCCCTGCCACCAATCCTAAAGCTCTATCCCTAGATGGTTTCTCCGCACTATTGTTATTCTTCCGCCTCTCTCCAGACTGGCTTCTTGGCAATTTTCCCCGGCCCTTTTCTCTCATCTTAGCTACTTCTTCCAGACTACTTTTCCACGATCCATCATCACCATCACCATCACCATCACCATCACCATCACCATCACCAAATCCAAATCCCTTTTCAAAATTTCCATTCCTATCTTTCTCTGTACTTATCTTAGTCATTTGTAATCTCCTTATATCCACCCTCCTTTTTTGAGCAGTCTGCCTTGCAACATGCGCCAAGCTATTTACACCAAGTCCATCCAATGCACTGAGATCCGTGAGTAGTTTTCTGACTTTGTATCCTGTGATTTCTTCAATGAATTTGTCGACTCCCTCATCACAAGCTGCTGCAGTAGCGACCCTCAATCCCCTGAACATCTTCGTTGTATCTCTTTCTTGTCGGGTTTGTTTTTCCAATGATTTAAGTTGACTTTGTAAATCACCGACTGATTCAGAGACTGACAAACTAGGATTGATATCCAATAGGATAGGAATATCAGGCAGCTTTGCATAAGAAAGAACTTGGCCTTGAACGTAACCAGGTCTTGTTGATTGACTTGACTGATTAGCTTGGGTGGGCATTGGTATGGAGGTAGCATTTGATTGTGGTCGCGGTACTCGATCTACTATTGACCTTCTTTTGACCGGGTCAGGGAAGTGGTGCTGATATTTTACGAAAACCAGATTGACGAGCAAAACATTCTTCATCGGCTGATACATTCGGTTCTTTTTGTTTCTCCCTTGAACCAATGCCTGTTCTCCTCGTTTCGTCATGTTCTTGCAGCAGAGCATCTCTCTCTACCTGTCGTTTGGGAGGTTGACTTGCTATGTTCTTTGTACTCTTATCTAAATCAGTCATAGATAGATTGCACCCCTCACAATGTACTGCTTCGGGAATCTCACACATTCGCATGTTTTTCTTCTTCGAAGTCGGTCCAAATCCAATGGACGGACTCGGCACCGATGCCGTATTTGGACGGACTTTTGAGTCCTTGATGGTATTTATCTCTACATTACACTGGGTACAACGAAGTGGAGATTGTTGAGTGCAAGACGAGACCACTGTGGAAGCGTGTGAAATTTGATGTGGGGTTGCAGGCTCGGATATACTGACATTCTTTGGTTCTTGGGGTAGTTGTCGTCTTTGGGTTTCACCGATTAAAGAAGACTTAAGGACAAGACCTCGACGTTGTTGGCTTTGAACAGTAACGGGAATTTGAGTAGTGAAATGTGGAGCTCGGGTAATAAATGATGGGGCGGCACTTGTTTGGGTGCCATGATTTTTGAGCAGACGTGTATCTTTTTGTTCCATGACGTCCCCAACGGTAAGCACAGCACGAGATTTGCTGGGGAGGTGCTCTAGACTGGCGAAATCTGCCACCCCAATATTATCAACTTGCTCAGGACCAACGAATGAATGTGGGTAAATGGTTGTAGCTGGTGTTATGGGAATATCAGAGGACGTGGTACTGGTAGGAGTTCGAGGGATTTGATCTAGGAAAGAACGAGTGTGCTCAGGTGGAGTATCGAGATGCAATACTATAGAAGAAGACTGTGAATTTGGCTGACTCGTGAATTCCGAGTACGGAGGTGATGCAGCAGCATCTCCAGCCAACTTGCTCAACCTGGCGTGTTTAATAGCAGTGCCGGAATCAGGGGGAGACCCGGCTGAGGTTGGTGGCTTACGGAGCCATGGTAAGGATTTCTTGGCAGGAGACCTCGGACGTTCAGGTGGGACAACGGATTCCGGTCGATATGCTTTTCCAGGCGACGGTGCTCGCGGATGTGCCAGATCGCAACACGGTGGAGACTCAAGACGATCGCTTGGATCGCCTCGCTCATATGCTGGCGTCCACTCAATGACAGTTTCTTCTGACGCAAAACTCATTGCCGAGATTTCTTTGTCCGGTTTTGCATGGTCAGATACTGATTTCTTGATCAGAACATTTGACCCCTTAATCCCCATTTCGTCGTTGGGTAGAGTAGCTTGTGGTGGCTCTCCAATATCAGAGAGAGATCTTCTTCGATCAATTTCAGATTTCGCTAGCAGCCCAGCACTGCTATGTTCATATGGCACTGGCTGAACTTCCGGAACGGTACTCCTACGTTCATACGACTGGACGCCCAGAAAGGGTCGGTTACGTTGTTCCGCCGATGTCACAGCCAATCCAACAGCTTGAAACTCGGCGTGGTAAGGTTTGAGTTCTTGTATAGTCTCTATCGTTTGCGTGGAGAAACTGGTTGAGGGTGCAGATGAAATAGGTGTTTGCTTCGGGGCCTGCTTCGCGGTTTGAAGATATAACTCGAGTTCCCTGGTGAAACGTTTCAAAGCTCTTCTCTGGCTAGGACTACGAGAAGAAGGATTCGAAGTAATACTTTGCACAATAGAATGAACAGAAGGAGGGAATGATTTCCCTTGAGCAAGACTCGCAAGCCTGGATGCTCCAATGAATGCTGTGTTACTTGTTGAGATCTCTTTTTTAGAAGGATCGCCCGATGTAGATATCTCTGCCTGGGTGGCGTTGTGACGAGTGGAATTTTTCTCTTCGTAAAGACTCGCGAGAGTAGATGCAGCCAAAAAAGCTTTACTTCTAGCTGGAGAGACAAACCCAGTACGTATGGATGGATAATACTTCCTATACAAGCTCCTTGAATAAACACTAGTGTCTTGCGGTGCAATCGTTCCAGGATTCGCTTGATAGCGACGGACTTGATTTACGGCTACTCCAGTCAATTGTGTCGAGTTAATGGAGTTCGTTCGACTTTCCGCTTGAGTTTTTATGTTATATTTTGCAACACTACCCTTGATTCTATTGAAGCTCGAACATCCAGCGCCGTCTACAGAATAAATATGACTTTCGTTGGCGGTTTTATAAGGATGGGGTAGTTTCGATTCGACGACACCTTCGGCAGATGGAAAACAATTCTCACTCTCCTGATCCTGCCTAGTAATATCCGAAGAAGGTGATTCCCATCCAAAAACTTCTTGTCTAGCTAGCTTCGAAGCACGGTTTTGCGAGCGAGTGACTGTAAAGCTCTTTGAGGTTCTGGATCTTCGACTACGAGCCTTAGTCCTTTCTTTCCTTCGAGCTTGTTCTAGCGCTCGACAATTGTGTATTTCACAAGTGCCTTTATTGGCGTGAGAGGCACAAAGGGTGAAATTGGTTTGAGGACGATTCGAAGCAATATCTATGCGTGGAAACTTTCGATGAGGACAGCCCTTCCAATGTATATTGAAATTGACCATTATTAACTATAAAAATAGAATCTTGAAGAATGCATATTTTAGGAAATGTGAGGTCTTCGAGATTACCGAGCTGAGAAATTAAGGGAGCTCCTCGATGTCCACTGCTCCTGCCATTCCAATTAAAGCTTCGCACATGATCCGCCAATCTGGAAGATAAAATCCTTCCATCAAGCATATGAGTTCCCTCATCGAATATCTTTGATACCAGGTGAAGAATACATGTCGACCTGCCGCTGACCTTTTCTCAGAAGGTACTCAATTGCACTGAAATCCTTTTTATCTAGAGTTATACTCTTGTCGAATTCGAGCCTGGAATTATCAATAATCTTAGTAAAATTTGTACAAGGAACGTAGAAAATGGTAATTGTTCAATGGTCGACGCACCTCGCAAATGCTTCAAAATGCTTTCTCGACTCCTTCATCTGGTCAATAGTTTACACTGAATCCTTATAGGAAACACCACTCACAGCAGGTTTTTTTCTACTTTCTCTCAAGCATTTCCTATAAAGAGCGAGAACCTCTCTCTGAAGTCCTGATAACCTCGCCATGTTTCCTTCTTTACTAATTGATTGTTGGTGATTGAAGATGTCTGAATAGAAGGAAAAGAAAATAATCGATGATGCGGGCATCAGTGATGCAGTGACATTGCAGGGGTGAGCTCCGAGGGTGGGGATTACATAAGCGGCCTCGGTTCAATAGTCTGAGAAGCATCATTTCACTCTCACCTAGATTTATTGTTAACCATAAACTTAGATTACTAATTATTTGTGGCGCAAAATGAATGAGAATCTTGATGATTCAACATTCAAATTGTACAGGAATGCTACACTCCGTACATTCACTCACAATCATAAGACCATTCTCTATTTTTTCCTACATAGAGCCGCTGATGAGCCGCTGGTGAGCCTCTGTAGAAGCTTAGGTCAACAGTATAAAACACAAAATATCACGCTTCAGGACTAATAATCAACACCAACCACGCTGCCTAGATTCAGAGAAAATGCCCATCTCGTCCTCAAACTTCACAGACCGAGGAAAAACTTCAAAAGCTTTATACTAGTAATCTAGAGCTGCAGCAAGTTCAGACCCTTCTGCATCACGGCGAGCGACCTCCAACATTCACTCGCTTTGAAAGTGTAGGTCTGCCAGCTTTTTGACCACACTGTCCCGCTACTAATCAAAAATAACCATCTAATGTCATTGTGAGTGACAGCCATTCTTCCAAAGCAAACACCTTGCGGTGGAGATAGTATCTCGAGACGCTTGAGCCTGACGGCAAGCCCGTGATTGTATCAGATCCCAAAGGAGATGTTGACGGATCCTAGAGCCACCAGCAACTAACAGACCAAGGATAGAGAAGTGCACACGCGCTGAATTCACGTCTCAGACATTTGTTTAACCTATAGACCAACTGCAATACTTGCCATCGGGGTTGCTCCTGAATCGTCACAAGGAGCCTTCTCGCCGTCTATCCTCAGCAATTTTAGTCCCTGGAAGAACCATACAGGATCAAATTGAATGGTCCTGAATTTTCAAGCAAGCCTAAACCTGCTGGCTATTGATTTCTATCTATATTTTTTCACTGGTCTAGTACCCCACACAATGAATTCATTGTACATGAACAGACTCGATACATATCAAATAATCTTGAGGATCATGGTTCTGCGTGATCAAGAGCATGGGATGAGAAAAATAAATCGAGAGAGAACGTTTACAGAAGTCTAAAGTAAACGAATACATACCAGCTTGTTTGTCCTGAGCCGAGCCAATACGCCCAAGTATGTTCAATCTTCAATCTCAAATATTTCAAACTCAGTAGGAATCCTTCCAGCTTCTCGCTAGAGACAATTTTAGCTCCTTTACAACCAAGTGCCCAACAGCTGGAACCGCCTTGTTTTCAATCCCTTCAGTGCTAAAGAACGATCCTTTTATAAAATCTTTGTACTCGTTCACGCTACCGTCCTTATTGAGCTTGATTTCAGTCACACGATAGGCAAACACATAGTTAGAGACCCTGTTCAATAAGATGGGCCGGAAGTGAGAGTCGGTCACTGCCAATTAGGATGGACACAGAAGTATTAGTGTCGATGAATTCGTGATGATATGCTCCTTGCCGATGTTTGGATAGAAATGGCCGAAATTGAGATGTCGTTGCATGATGTGAAGTCGCATAGATGTGAAAAGTAGCTCTCTTATGGTGAGAGCACTGGTGAAGCTTTAATTCCAATCAGGTTTAGCTTTCCTTGACTATCACGTTACCAAGGAACTATCAAGAATTTTACGAAGTTCTAATTCCAAAGAATTCAAGAAAAATAATATCGTTCCATATTCATTGATACCAATTTCTGCCACATCTTGTTGTCGTGCGCGTGGAAAGAAGGTATTCTAAGATGAGTCAGCAAAGCTCCAGAAAGATGTGGCTGGATGTGGGGAAATATTTACCTCGGGAGATTCCTAATCTCATCTGATATCTTTCTTATCGCGAGTGTTGAATTCCAATCTGAACTACATCTATAATTTCCTCATTCATTCAATTTACTTCATTATAAATTGCTACAATGTCATCGCCTTCATTCTCCGTAAGTCCAATTCAATCAATACTACTACATCCGCCGGGCCTAGATCATTAGCTACCTACACAATACTAATGTTCCTCTAGCGACTTGTCCGCTTCCTAGCTAAGAACGGTCGTACATACTACGGCGATGCCATTCTACCCAAAGGAGTATCAGATATCGCGGAAGCTACTCAAGCCAAAGTGATTACAGGTGAAATATTTGGAAAGCATGAGGTTACAGATCAAATACAAGATATTCGACTCTTACTCGCTCCATTAGCAACCGAAGATGTTAAGACTGTGAGATGTTTGGGGTTGAACTATGAACAGCACGCAAAGGAGGTAAGAATTTATGGATATGAATCTTGGATGTAATTAAAGAAGATGGGAATTTGACTCAAGCTGAGTATATTTAGTCAAATATGCCGATTCCAAAATTCCCAATTCTGTTTGTAAGTCCATGTTTCCGTTCCCCCGAAATTTCAACAACAATTGACATCCCAAAGTATAAACCCATCACATCACTCTCTGGTCCTACCGATTCTATCCCCATTCCCGCGATGGCCCAAGAAGGTACCGGTCTTGACTACGAATGCGAACTTGTAGTGGTGATCGGGAAATCCTGCACCAATGTTTCCGAATCTAAAGCTTTAGATTATGTTCTTGGTTATGCCGTAGGTGACGATGTATCTCATCGTGAATGGCAAATTCAACGAGGAGGTGGTCAATGGGCTCTCGGAAAGGGATTTGATGGATGGGCTCCGTATGGTCCAGGAATCGTCTCTAGTAAATTGATTGATCCGCAAAATCTTAAGATCTTTACGAAATTGAATGGGAAGACGGTACAAGAGAGTAGTACCAAGGATATGATTTTTGGTGTAGCGAAAACTATTGCATTTTTGAGTCAGGGAACTACATTGTTACCAGGAGATTTGATTTTTACAGGAACGTGAGTATTGCGATTTATTGACGTTATGATTTTTTGATCAGAAAGATGTTAATATATGAATAGTCCACAAGGTGTAGGAATGGGAAGAAAACCACAAGTATGGTTGAAGGATGGTGATGTGGTTGAAGTTGGATTGGAAGGGGTAGGAAGTTGTATTAATAAGGTTGAGTTTACTCAGACAACGGAGAAAGCGAAGCTATAAGTTTCTAGACGCTGAAGCGTATGATATGTGGATACCAATTGGAATAAGTTCAACAATACAGCAAAGTTCATCCTATAGTCATATCCTTGGCAGAGCATAATGTTAAGCCTGAGTTTATGTTGAGTTCATATTGTGTCTAGGCAGTTGTAGTATGAGGTAGGATATTGTTTATGGACAGGATTAATGGAGGCGGTGATTTGAGTAGTGTTGATCTTGAGTTATGAGATTATATTCAGAGGGATAATCATTAGGCATCTATATCTTTCCATAGGTACTCAATCTAATGACTGACGTATGCATTGCCTCTCCATCAAGTACATAATTAAGCACCAAAGCACCTTTCAACAATCAACAATAATATCCAATGTCCATCCCGTATCAGCTTTCAAGAAGGAAAGAGGTAATAAAGATCAAGAGAATCTCTGATTGCTATAGCATCAGCGATGCATGCCATAATCACCCATCACAAATACCTACCTACCTTAGGTATAAGTACTAGATTCTTAACAGTAGTATCAAACAGGAATACAAATCCTAACTCTGTTACTCGCGTCCTCCCATGGTAAAGAACGGGCGATGTTGTGTATGCGAGACGACCTTCTAGTCCTCAGTGATCTAATGATAAAAGTCTGGCTGATATTTATTATAAGATTACCTACCTCTTGACATAATTTCAGTCCTATGGGATTGGTCTTGTTGGTAGGAAAGTTGTTATTTATCATCCTACTCTTAATATTTCATTACAGAAATCCACACCCGAATATCACTCATCTATATATTTAAAAATCATTTACTTTGGAATTAAGATAAGTTATCAAGAATGAGAATAGCAATATAATCTTACGATTTTAATTGCAATCCAAATATGGTAAGTCTTAGTTTCAACTATCTTTGACTTCTTTGACATATTATTCCGTCTTTAATCTATGATATATGGTATATTTAGTGTAAAGCCCCAGCTGTATATATACATAAACTACTTGGAAGATATTCATGGTTATGGATATACCTGGATATTACCTGGTATGTGTAAAGTCTGGTGGACCTAATCATCTATCACATCACATCTTAATCTACCCATTACATTTCAATCTATCCATCACGTTTCAATCTATCCATCCCATTGTCACGATTCACCATTAGGATTGATGGTGTTACGATGGTAGCAAACTGATTAATTAGGAGAGCTTAGGCCGTGTGCAAACACGATCAGATTTCATCGAATTAGTATGTGATCTTGGTCACCTGAAGATCGTATGCGCACGCACCATCAGAAATCGCGTGATAAGGAGTCTTGAGGAGCCAGAAAGCTCCTAGGGGCCCCCTTTATTGTTCAGTATATAGTCAGAGTAGTTTCATAGTTTAGGAGCTTCGTGCTCAACTTAGTTATCAATTAGTTTACCTACATTCTACTTGATCTAGTAACGACTTCACTTCCAAGTGAAGACTAGTGATAAAGCCTTAACCCACAACTACCAATCAGACGAAACCTCAGGCAGCCGCTGCCTCCGGTACAGTATCGTTACACCCATCCATCTATCCATACACACAGACATATTATTCTCCGAATCGGAGAGATCTCGCATACAGAGTACTCATATATCCCACACATGATATCACTAATGTATCCACTAGATGATCTAATATGATACATCTTAACATCTTTAGCTAACATCTTCAGCTATCCCACTCCGCACCCCTCATATCCATGATATAGATATACAGCGCCAACGTAGCATCTAGATCTTAGATCTCATCTTCGATCCTAGATCTTACATAATGATAGTCCAGCTCGACCTACTTAGGTTATATATTTCTGATAAATCCGCTAAACCCCCACGCGAATCCTACCCAGCATAGACACCCAATACCGAATACTCAATACGAATATAGCAAGATTACACCCCTCCAAAAACGCTGCAACTAATTCCCCCGCTAATCTCGATCCTTTCCCGCATCCAAAAGAAGTAATGATTCCCAAACCCCGATCTCAACTCGAATCGCGCATAATGTCCCAGCATATATTAGCGGATTATAAATCTTGATAAAAAAAATAAATACGTGCTAGATACCTAGTATCTAGAAACCTAAAACCTCGCCGATTAACCCTATCTATCCTATCCTATCTCATCTCATCTCATCTCATCTCATCTCGCATAGAAATGATAAAAAGAGTAGAAGAATAACAAGGTTTGAATCACATCGCTTGCTTGTGCTTGTGCTTGTACATATGCATATGCACGATCGATGAAGATTTTACTTACTAACCTGTTTACTTACCTACTTTGTAGATATCCTAATATAATTTCTCTTTTCCTTTCTTTTCCCTTTCAACTTCAACAGTACGTACTGTGCCAACATGCATTATAAATAACCTACAGTATCAGGAATCTGAACCCCAGACTCCGTATTCTAGATTCTCGATTCTAGACTCGGGTTAGTGATCTGCTCAGCTAGTTAGTTAGCTATGGAGATATATCCGTCCACTCAATCTATATCCTATTTCGTATATACGGAGTGCATATACATGCATACAATAACAGGGACATCAAACCCCTATGAAAAAAAGCAACACAAAAGTGTAAAATAAAACACAGTAAATTCAAATATAGTATCGCATCGCATCTAAAATCTCTAAATTAGTCTAGTCTAGATCAAGGAAGAGCACAGCATAGCACAGGACAGCACAGGATAGGATAGGTACGGGCCGAACCCTTTCTTTTCCCCTCCCTAAGTTCCCTTCAGCGCACTTTGAACCTCAAACCTCAAAGTTCAAATTATATCCATCTTTTCTCTTTTCTTTTCTTTTCTTTTCCCTATCATTTATCCTAAAGATCTGATCTCCTCATCGCACCAGATCTCCTCAGATCCAGATCCCACCAGATCTCCACACCGTTTCATCCAATTAATTTAATCCAATCCAATCCAATCCAAATCAATCAGATTCTTATCTAGATCTTACCTAACTTACCTATCTAGATCTTACATACATACATACATACCTACCCCATAAGATCCTACAATAATGACTAACTGAAACATCTCATTCTATCCAATCCATCCCCCACCTCCTCTATTCCCCATTCCCCACACACACACCTCATAAAATAGGGTAGGATCAATATCGATATCATCGTCATAGATATAGATATAAACATAGAAATAAAAATAAACAAATCAGCAAAAAGCAACAGAGATATCTCCGGAAAATTTATGATTTATAATTTGTGATTTCATGGAATGATTCATACATAGTATAATATAAATATAGATATTCGTATCTAAAACACACATATATATATATAACAATTATTACTACTTAGATAAATAAATATACATATCTCCAACCAGAGTCAGAATAGAAAAAACTAATTTTCAAATATAACATCAAAATACATAGAGTCTACATAGAATTAAATTACAAATACAAGAGATAAAATTGGGAGAATAATTATACTATTCATAAGGGGAAGAATAGGAATAGGTATTAGCTAGGTAGGTTGTGAGGAGAGTGTTCAATTATAAATCATTAGTCTTCTACTCCGTACACTGATCCCATCTACCTCGTATGCACGTATGCACACCTTTTTATACCTACCTAGTATTCAGTCTAGTTTATATTTTCATCAACTCATACTATGTACAGTGAGCGATACATCATCATCATTGATTTCCATCTGAATTTACTATAATTCACCAATTTGTATTGTATTGTACACATCCAGTAACCTATACATTCAGTATCTAACCTTCCATCCAACAACCCAAGTACCTAATCATAATCCATAAAACCCACAAACAACAACGCCATACCATATAACTAATCCAAGCCATCAAAGCTCCTCCATATCCCCATCCCCATCCCTCTCCCTATCCCCCTTCGTCTCCATCCCCGTAAAATTATACCCCGGTCTCCTCCAATCCAACGGATCACCCCCAGGCAAACAAACACCCAACCTCCAAAAATAATCCCTATGAGCAAAGAACAGCTGCCAGAGTTTGTATCTCGTCGGAACAGGAAGATTTAGCCATCTTTTTTGAATTTTCTTCAAATGCATATCTTCATTTTTTTCTTCTGTCTTAGCTTCTGTTTCTTCGATAGTACCCCATTTTGAATTTCGTATTTCGTCGAGAAAGTTCACTGGGATTATAGATGATATATCTTCCCCCTGAAACCACAAATTGTCTCCGTCACTTCCAGTAATACAATCTTTATCCTCATCACCGTAGCAAAGATGAATATCTTGAACTTCAGGTTGTAAATTTTCCTTCCCGATGTATATCTCTCCGGCATGAGTTCTATAACCCCACTCTTTTAGAGGAAGTAACGGTACTGGATCTCCTACATGTGTTACCTTTCTATATCTTCTATCCATGCCATCGTGATCTCTCTCATCCAATTCAAAAACTCCATCGATAAATTCCATTAACCCATCATTTCCAATCATTGGCTCTCCAAAAGTTGTAACCATCGTTCTCCATCCATTCCCTTCGAGTTCTAGTCCTGCAAGAGCGGCAACTGCTCCCCCGAGAGAATGTCCTACAAGATGCAATTGATATTCTGGATATTTCTGTTTCAAGACATTAAGATGCGGTAGGATATACGGACGTGTATTAAGCCATGATGTATAGAATCCTGTATGAACCGTACAATTTGTACACTTTCTCTCCAATTTTCGCAAATTTTGTTTTGTTGTCATTGACTTTAATGCATGTTGCCACCTAAAGCGCCAAGGTCGACGAATTCGACCGAAGAGCCGCTGTACAACACTTGTTTCAGAAGTAGCACCAGAAGCACCCTGGTCATCAGGATCCTCAGGATATGGTATATATTCCTGCGGCACGGTACTCAAATCCGCAATCGTATTCGCAATAGAATAAGTACCCCTAAAGGCGACAATAATCCTACCTCCCCTCCCATCCCCTCCACTCTGCAATCCATGATCTAGTACAATATATCCAGAACTATCACTTTTCACCACCCCTGTATTAAACGTATCTACCAACTCGTACCCAGGAAACTCATCGCAGCGACTAGCGCATTGAAAAGGTTTCGAAATACCGCTTGTACCAATACAGTAGGATATATCGACTAGACGGGCTAATTCTTCCAGAGAATGGAAGAGGCGTAAAGATATTGTTGGCTGATTGTGCGCTAATTGGAATTGCGTGGAGATGGAGGAGGAAGGAGAAGATCGAGTATGAGATGCAGAAACAGATTGATCGATGGGCTTGGATGCGGGAAAGGCAGCATGGTGCAATGGCGTATTTGCAAATGTTGGATGTGCGAGAGTAGACGATGCGATTCCCAGGAAGGTAATGGCGAATATGGTATTGATGCTAAGAAAGCGCATCTTGTCTCGTGGTATCTTACATATTCAAATGCAATAATTTACTTGAAGGAAGAATATTAATGTTAGGTGAAAGGAAGAGAAGGGGCGGTGTTGACATGAAGTTAAAGTCTCTGAATGTTGAAAGTTGGTCTTGTGATAATTTGAAGTCGGGGCTGCAGGCGTCATTGTCTTAGGCTAAGCTAGGGCTAGCGAAGCGAATCTGGTTACTCAAGATTTTCTCTTTTCAGTACATCACATTCTCTAGATTTAGCAAAATAGCCGCCAAAACATGGGAACATTTAAAACTATTGGATCATTCTTGAAAGTGGACTTTTACAATTTGTGAAATG